GCTTGCAAAATTCCAGAAAATGACGTCATGGCTTTAGAAGCTTCTGATAGGCTAATTGACATCATTTGAGTCAATTGGAGGTGTACCTGTGGATGTATTTCAAGGCCTACCTTCAAACTCAGTGCCTCTTTGCTTGACATCATGGGAAAATCAAAAGAAATCAGCCAAGACCTCAGAAAAAAATGGTAGACCTCCACAAGTCTGGTTCATCCTTGGGAGCAATTTCCAAACGCCTGAAGGTACCACGTTCATCTGTACAAACAATAGTACGCAAATATAAACACCATGGGACCACGTAGCCGTCATACCGCTCGGGAAGGAGTTCTGTGTCCTAGAGATGAATGTACTTTGGTGCGAAAAGTGCAAATCAATCCCAGAACAACAGCAAAGGACCTTGTGAAGATGCTGGAGGAAACAGGTACAAAAGTATCTATATCCACAGTAAAACGAGTCCTATATCGACATAACCTGAAAGGCCGCTGAGCAAGGAAGAAGCCACTGCTCCAAAACTGCCATAACAAAGCCAGACTACGGTTTGCAACTGCACATGGGGACAAAGATCGTACCTTTTAGAGAAATGTCCTCTGGTCTGATGAAACAAACATAGAACTGTTTGGCCATAAAGACCATTGTTATTTTTGTCGGAAAAAGGGGGACCCTTGCAAGCCGAAGAACACCATCCCAACTGTGAAGCACCGTGGTGGCAGCATCATGCTGTGGGGGTGCTTTGCTGCAGGAGGGACTGGTGCACTTCACAAAATAGATGGCATCATGAGGAAGGAAAATTATGTGGATATATTGAAGCAACATCTCAAGACATCAGGAAGTTAAAGCTTGGTCGCAAATGGGTCTTCCAAATGGACAATGACCACAAGCATACTTCCAAAGTTGTGGCAAAATGGCTTAAGGACAACAAAGTCAAGGTATTGGAGTGGCCATCACAAAGCCCTGACCTCAATCCTATAGAAAATGTGTGGGCAGAACTGAAAAAGCGTGTGCGAGCAAGGAGGCCTACAAACCTGACTCAGTTACACCAGCTCTGTCAGGAGGAATGGGCCAAAATTCACCCAACTTATTGTGGGAAGCTTGTGGAAGGCTACTCGAAATGTTTGACCCAAGTTAAACAATTTAAAGGCAATGCTACCAAATACTAATTGAGTGTATGTAAACTTCTGATCCACTGGGAATGTGATGAATGAAATAAAAGCTGAAATAAATTATTCTCTCTACTATTATTCTGACATTTAGGTGCAATCTTGTCTGAAATATAAAATATATTTTGATTTGTTTAACACTTTTTTGGTTACTACATGATTCCATATGTGTTATTTCATAGTTTTGATGTCTTCATTATTATTCTACAATGTAGAAAATAGTAAAAATAAAGAAAAACCCTTGAATGAGTAGGTGTGTCCAAACTTCTGACTGGTACTGTATATATACAAATTTACCCAGACACACTAAATAGCAGTGTGTAGACATTTGCATGTTTTCTTTTTGTCGTTCCAGGGCCCCCGGTGTTATCTGTCACCACTATATTGGTAAGGTATTATTTTTATATATATAGTTGTGGTCAAAAGTTTTGAGAATGACACACATAAAAATTTTCACGAAGTCTGCTGCCTCAGTTTTGATTATGCCAATTTGCATATACTCCAGAATGTCATGAAGAGTGATCAGATGAATTGCAATTAATTGCAAAGTCCCTCTTTGCCATGAAAATGAACTTCATTCCAAAAATGCCACTGCATTTCAGCCCTGCCACAAAAGGACCAGCTACCATCATGTCAGTGATTCTCTCGTTAACACAGGTGAGAGTGTTGACGAGGACAAGGCTGGAGATCACTCAGTCATGCTGATTGAGTTAGAATAACAGATTGGAAGCTTTAAAAGGAGGGTAGTGCTTGAAATCATTGTTCTTCCTCTGTTAACCATGGTTACCTGCAAGGAAACACGTGCCGTCATCATTGCTTTGCACAAAAAGGGCTTCACAGGCAAGGATATTGCTGCTAGTAAGATTGCACCTAAATCAACCATTTATCGGATCATCAAGAACTTCAAGGAGAGAGGTTAAATTGTTGTGAAGAAGGCGTCAGGGCGCCCAAGAAAGTCCAGCAAGCGCCAGGACCGTCTCCTATAGTTGATTCAGCTGCGGGATCGGGGCACCACCAGTGCAGAGCTTGCTCAGGAATGGCAGCAGGCAGGTGTGAGTGCATCTGCACGCACAGTGAGGCGAAGACTTTTGGAGGATGGCCTGGTGTCAAGAAGGGCAGCAAAGAAGCCACTTCTCTCCAGGAAAAACATCAGGGACAGACTGATATTCTGCAAAAGGTACAGGGATTGGACTGCTGAGGACTGGGGTAAAGTCATTTTCTCTGATGAATCCCCTTTTCCGATTGTTTGGGGCATCCGGAAAACACCTTGTCCAGAGAAGACAAGGTGAGCGCTACCATCAGTCCTGTGCCATACCAATAGTAAAGCATCCTGAGACCATTCATGTGTGGGGTTGCTTCTCAGCCAAGGGAGTGGGCTCACTCACAATTTAGCCTACGAACACAGCCATCAATAAAGAATGGTACCAACACATCCTCCGAGAGCAACTTCTCCCAACCATCCAAGAACAGTTTGGTGACGACCAATGCCTTTTCCAGCATGATGGAGGACCTTGCTATAAGGCAAAAGTGATAACTAAGCGGCTCGGGGAACAAAACATTGACATTTTGGGTCCATGGCCAGGAAACTCCCCAGACCTTAATCCCATTGAGAACCTGTAGTCGATCCTCAAGAGGCGGGTGGACAAACAAAAACCCACAAATTCTGACAAACTCCAAGCATTGATTATGCAAGAATGGGCTGCCATCAGTCAGGATGTGGCCCAGAAGTTAATTGACAGCATGCCAGGGCGGATTGCAGAGGTCTTGAAAAAGAAGGGTCAACACTGCAAATATTGACTCTTTGCATAAACTTTAATGTAATTGTCAATAAAAGCCTTTGACACTTATGGAATGCTTGTAATTATACTTCAGTATACCATAGTAACATCTGACAAAAATATCTCATAACACTGAAGCAGCGAACTTTGTGAAGACCAATACTTGTGTCATTCTCAAAACTTTTGACCACGCCTGTACAGCATGCTAATACTTATCACAATCATAATTGTTGTTATGCATATCATCTTACATACAGCAGACATATTCATTTTCATATTTCATCATAATGACTCCTCTGATCAAATGAGTTTAATTGGCTACACTTGTTCGAACAACACTGTGGCTGCGTTTACACAGGCAGCCCAATTCCGATGTTTTGAAATATCTGATACCTATTAGACTTTTTCCCAAAAATGTTTAAATGGCAAAAACCACATGGAATCTGATCTTTTGAGTTCCGATTTTATTCCACATTCATGTGGTTCTCAATCCTGATACGATTCTGATGTTTCATATCTGACCTCAGTCTGGACGCTCAGTTTACCTGCTGTTACCATGACAACCACCCTCAAATTTAAAGGAACAATGGCAGGAAATGAGCATTGCATCTGTGTGCTATTTCAGAGGATACAGCGGTGTGAATGCGCAAATCTGACATTAGTCACATGTAAAAGTGAGTGTGGACAGAATTGGGTTCTCAGGATGGCTGTGTTAAAGCAGCTTATCATATACAGAACAAAAATATAAACACAACATGTAAAGTGTTGGTCCCATGTTTCATGAGGTGAAATAAAAGATCCCAGAAATGTTCCATTCGCACATTATTTATCTCATATTTTGTGCACAAATTTGCTGACACCCCTGTTGGTGAGCATTTCTCCTTTGCCAAGATGATCTATCCACCTGCCAGGTGCAGCTGATTAAACAGCATGATCCTTACACAGGCACACCTTGTGCTGGGGACCATAAAAGGCCCCTCTGAAATGTGTAGTTTTGTCAGACAACACAATGCCACAGATGTTTTGAGGGAGCGTGCAATTTGCATTCTGACTGCAGGAATGTCCACCAGACCTGTTGCCAGAGATTTGAATGTTCATTTCTCTACCATAAGCTGCCTCCAACGTCGTTTTAGAGAATTTGGCAGTACGTCCAACCAGCCTCACAACCACAGACCACATGTAACCACGCCAGCCCAGGGCCTCCACATCCGTTTCTTAACCTGCGGGATCATCTGAGACCAGCTACCCGGACAGCTGATGAAACTGAGGAGTATTTCTGTCTGTAATAAAGCCCTTATGTGGGGAAAAACTCATTCTGATTTGGTGGGCCTGGCTCCCCAGTGGTTGGGCCTGGCTCCCCAGTGGGTGGGCCTTGCAACCAAGTGGGTGGGCCTGGCTTCCCAGTGGGTGGGCCTTGCAACCAAGTGGGTGGGCCTTGCAACCAAGTGGGTGGGCCTTGCAACCAAGTGGGTGGGCCTGGCTCCCCAGTGGGTGGGCCTGGCAACCAAGTGGGTGGGCCTGGCAACCAAGTGGGTGGGCCTGGCACCCCAGTGGGTGGGCCTTGCTCCCCAGTGGGTGGGCCTGGCTCCCCAGTTGGTGGGCCTTGCAACCAAGTGGGCGGGCCTATGCCCTCCCAGGCCCACACATGGCTGCGCCATTGCCCAGTCATGTGAAATCCATAGATTAGGGCCTAATTTATTTATTTAAATTGACTGATTTCCTTATATGAACTGTAACTCAGTAAAATTGTTGAAATTGTTGCATGTTGTGTTTTATATTTTTGTTCAGTATAGATCTCGCATGACGTCTCACACTAGATTCCACCATTTTAGATCAGTCCCCATGTCGTTATGCTCTCAATGTTGTAACGCGACATGACACTGCCATTCAATTAGACTCATTTGAATGTATCCCTGACCAAGATGGCTGCCATTATCAGCATATTCTTGTGTTATGAGTGTCTATCACAAATCCACTCTAGTAATTTTTTGTAACTCTATGCTAGTATGCATGTTTTAAAATATGATCCACTTATCGGATTCTCTCCCACCAGCAAGAACCATACACTATGACCAAAGGGTCTGAGCTGGAGGGGTACTGCATTGACCTGCTCGCGGAGCTCGCCAAAAAGTTGGACTTCAAGTACAATGTGCACCTGGTGAAGGATGGAAAATACGGGCAACAGGACGAGAGCGGCAACTGGCTGGGGATGATCGGGGAGGTGGTCCGAGGGGTGAGTGACCTGGACAGAAGGTAGCAGGTGGTGGTATATGGTACGCTGGGGAATTGGTTAAGTCATTCAGACTTGTGTAAAGTAGGCCCTGCATGGCTATATACTCACGCACGCTGTGTGTCACTACTCCTGTTTGTTTTTACCCTACTCCTGTGTCTGTGTGTGCCTGCTCTTGTCTCCTCCTATCTATCAGGAAGCCGAACTGGCGGTTGCGCCTCTGACCCTCACAGCGACCAGGGAGCAGAGGGTGGAGATGAGCACTCCCTTCATGCAGATGGGCATTGGTTTCATCCTGAGCAAGGACCTGGGCTCCGAGGAGAGCCACTCCCTCAGCTTCCTCTTCCCCTTCTCTACAGAGATGTGGGTGGGCGTCCTCCTGGCCTTCCTGGTGACCGGCCTCTGCATGTATCTGGTGGCCAGGTGAGATAATATGATCATTTCCGGCCTTAGACGGGCCTCTGCATGTATCTGGTGGCCAGGTGAGATAATATGATCATCTCCGGCCTTAGACGGGCCTATGCATTTATTTTGTGGTCATGTGAGATATCATTATCTCCTTGGCCCCATTCCAAATCAAACTGCTAGCTAGCTATCAACCCTAGGCGCTTCGGGGGAATCCTAACTTCCACTGAAGTCGAATTTCACTTAGTCATCCATTGAAATCAATGAGACTAAGTGAGAATATGACTTACATGTAAATAGAAGTTAGGATTCACCCCTTGCATAAAAAGATGTCAACATACAAATTATGCGTAATGCTATGAAACATATAGGCAACGTACGTCAAGTATACAAAACATAGCGTGGAAGATTGTAGTTGAAAGTAGAGTAGGTCAATGGAAGTAGAAACTGCGTTGCTAATTTGTCCTTTGTAAGAATGTCGTTTGGCCACTGTCCAGACAATGAAGAAGATCGATCTCAATGCTCACTTTGTTTTTCTGCCCACCCCAGGATAAGCCCCTGTGAGTGGGCAGACCCCGAGACAAACGAACACAGCTTCACCCTCCTGCACAGCTTCTGGTACATCACCGGAGCCCTGACCCTGCAAGGTAACGCAGCTATGAGCCAAATCGCCCCCTGAGTCAAACCGCTGCTTCCAAGTCACATGTAAAACAGAACCGTGCTATTTTGGCAAAGAAGAGTCTAGAAGACCATAGAAATATAGTCTTCTTTACTGTGGGTACACTAAATATGGTCGCCAGTCTACCCAGTCTGGACAGGGGTTAATGTTCCTGCTATTCAGACAAGGATTGTCTAGACCAGGATTTTGGTTCCTTTCCTTTACCTCTGAGTTTTCAAGTGAACCGTCCCATTTCTATGTTTCAATCATATAATTAAATTAAACATAATGTATGTGTATGTCTTGCGTTCTCAGGTGCTGGCCCACACCCTAAAGGCCTGTCTGGTCGCGTTATCAGCGCCTTCTGGTGGGTGTTTGCGGTGGTGCTCCTTGCCTGCTACTTCAGCAACTTTAACGCCATGCTACGCTCAGACTCCAAACACGTCTCGGTGAATAACTTTGAGGAGCTGGCCAAACAGGACGTCATCGACTACGGAACAGTCGAAGGGGGATCCACGTTCAACTTTTTCAAAGTATGTGTCGCTTTAAAAAGAAAAATAAACCACACAAGTATTCCTTTAGTAAAGGTCAATGGAGTATGGAGCCAGATACCTGCCAAAAGGTTGAATGTACGTATCGTTAGGATCGTAAGAAAATCCATACGTAAATTGTTAGGATCGTAAGAAAAGCCATGCGTGAAACAAATATTGTGTTGCAATTCTGACGTACAATAATACCTTTCAGAGTTTTGGCAGTTTCTTCTCACCAACAAAAAAAACGTACACCAAACGGCCTGTGATGAGTGCTACCCGAACAAGCATACAGTATTAAAAAGTCAGGGAAACCGGAAAGAGGTATCCTGCAGGTTTTCAAGTTAAGTCTCCATTCTCTATTACTCCTCAGTTGAGTTTACTTCACATTTAGGTAGCTAATGTAATGGATTTGTTTGCCAGCGCAAGTCTAGATAGCACTAGCTGTATTATGCCTACAACAGTGAAGTTTCAGTCCGCTAGGTGTATCTCTACAGCATGGGCATATCTCTGGGTGACGTGGACATCCCCATGCATGCACCTTATCAAAATATGACAAATTCAATATTGCACCATCCCATTCTCTAGGCTCTGTCTGCAATCATAACCAGTAGTATATACCTGGAATAATGAACCATAGAATAATAATAGATGTTTGGTGAATCTATGAATTATGTATGACCACTGGAGTCTTATAATTCTTTCAACAGAATATTTAGAAATGTATTTCATCACTCAAAATCTTGCCAAAGCATATTCTGTAGGAGGGGTTAATATGAATGTAAAATAATTTGACATGATTTACATAAATGGAGTCATGAACATATGGACTTTGAAATGAACAAGGGAGAGGTTCAACGTAGACTAAGTCTGGCATAAGCTTATTCCCACACTTTACAATAACTCTGTTGCAGTGGTCTTAGGTAGTCTCCGTATAGGCTATGCCCTCCATCGCGACACTGCTGCTCTGTTGAAGAGCTTGTGATCTCCGTGCAGCACCACAGCACCACGCGCCTTCAGAAAAGCACCCCTCAGCCTCAGAAGATGCCATTCTGGAGGCATGCAGTCATAGAGTCATTATACCCCTAATGTAGGCCTATTTGCCTACTAGACAAATAAAGTGCAGAGCATGCATGATGCGTGCAACTCGGCATGCCAACATATTTGAACATTTAATTCATCCTTCATTCAGTTCAGTCAGTCAGTATGTCATCCATTGTCATTTGTCTGAGTTGCAATGGGAACTAAATCAAAGAGAATAGAACAGTCTTATCCATTTGTTTATTGGCATCCGTGTGTATTAAAAATGATCTAAATTCTCCAAAGTTCTTTAGCCTATCACTTTAATAATTCAATTTTTAATTTAGGCCTATTCCAATTTAGGGTTTGCGTTGCATAACCATATCACGCAGAGCCTATATCCATATCAATAAAATGTTGATAAAGTCTTGGCTATAACGTGTCCTGAGCTAAATAACCAAGGAGTCCCAAATGGTAAAGACTATCTATAGCCTATTCTTATTGCCAGATCTCTTTTCCCTATCACCCTCTGCACGTGCATCTTCAACTATTTTGTTTAAAATGTGTTTAGAGGCTATATTTCGAGGCCTGTGAGCTAGGGTCTCTTTTTAAAGGGAGCCCTGTAATACAAACAGTTATTAAACACAAATAGAGTTCTGAAATGATTCCGCAAGACACCTTCAACTTGTAGACTTAATCAATATTCTGTTTTGTGTCATTTATTGATATGGATATAGCCTCTGCGTGACGGGGTTGTGCAACGCGAATGGCTATAACAAGCCTACATACAGAGTGGAATTCACTAATACAACAGTCAAAATGCCTAATATAAGGCCTACAGTCCGTGCTCCCAAATACTGGAAAAAGTATGATTCATTAGGTTACATGATCACCACAGTAGCCCCACGCGGCTATAAAAAGAAATGATGCAATGATATGGCCATTAAATAACACACAACAGCATGGCATATCTAGATAGCGGAATAGGCCTAAATCATATTTACTTTCTATTTTGTAGCTCAGGCGGTTATTCAAGGCTCTTCTGTTTCTTTATCATTCTCACACAAGTCATTTGCTGAAAGCCCAAGCCTATACTATGTCATCTAATGGTATAACGTTGTTATTGAATGCAGTTCTAAAACAGGCTCTAGACTTTTATTTTGGAAATGAAACCGGAAGCTGGAAAGCAACTCTAACGTCTGGGCTAGAGTTGCTTGATTGACTAGCTAACTTCGACTAGCTATGTTCAGTTCATGTCCTTTGCAGATGCCACATTACTGACAAAAATGTGTACGCATAAAAAAGATCTGTAACCGAGTAAAGGGAGACGTAAAGTAAGAACTGAACGTGTAAATGTTCATTCGTAGTCGTAACATAGAGTATGTACGTTTACAGATCTATTTTAACGTTTATGTTTCATGTTTCACGCATGGTTTTTCTTACGATCCTAACAATTTACATATGGATTTTCTTACGATCCTAACGATACGTACTTTAAACCTTTTGGCAGGTATCTGGCTCCATAATGGAAGTCAATAAATGTATTTTCTCATCTGTACCTGTTCATTCCCTTCCATGGCGGGTTTCCGGATGAAACCTACAACTAGAGCCGCTTATGTCTCAACAGCACCAGCCTAAAACAATCTGACCGATTTTGCATTTATACGGTTCCGATTCCGACATTTCCAGAACTCCAACAACCCCACCTACCGACGCATCTACCAGCACATGCAGAGGAAGAAGAGTTGTGTGGCTTCTGTGGAAGAGGGAAATCGACTCACCCGGGAAGGCAACTACGCCTTTATTGGCGAGGCAGCATCTCTGGACCTGGCTGTGGCTCGCTACTGCAACCCGATCCGCAGCAGCGAACTCATCGCCATGAGAGGGTACAGCATCGCAGCACCCCTAGGTGAGCCCCTAGTAGCTGGATCCACAGTACGCCTAGGTGAGCCCCTAGTAGCTGTATCCACAGTACACCCCATAGTTGGACCGGATATATGGAAAGCTGTGCTGTCAATAAAGGAACATTGGGAATGTTGTCTGTATGTTTTTATGGGTGACCTGCTGTGGTGGTGAGTATCTGAAGTATTTGAAGTGCAATTCTTCACTTGATACACACACGCATACGCTCTCACATAAAATACTCACACACTAAATCCTTTCTCTCTTGCTGTCCCACCCTCCTCCCTGTCTCTCTCTCCTCCCTGTCCCACCCTCCTCCCTGTCTCTCTCTCCTCCCTGTCTCTCTCTAATCCATGTCTCCCTCTCTCCCACCCTCCTCCCTGTCTCTCTCTCCCACCCTCCTCCTCGTCTCTCTCTCCCACCCTCCTCCCCGTCTCTCTCTCCCACCCTCCTCCCCGTCTCTCTCTCCCACCCTCCCCTCTCCTCCCCCGTCCTCCCCCGTCTCTCCGCTCCCCACCCTCCTCCCCGTCTCTCTCTCCCACCCTCCTCCCCGTCTCTCTCTCCCACCCTCCTCCCCGTCTCTCTCTCCAACCCTCCTCCCCGTCTCTCTCTCCCACCCTCCTCCTCGTCTCTCTCTCCCACCCTCCTCCCCGTCTCTCTCTCCCACCCTCCTCCCTCTCTCTCTCTCCCACCCTCCCGCTACCCGTCCTTCTCTCTCCCCCACCCTCCTCCCGTCTCTCTCCTCCCACCCCTCCCTCCCCGTCCTCTCCTCTCCCACCCCTCCGCCCCGTCTCTCTCCCCACGCCTCCTCCCCCGTCCTCTCTCGCTCCCTCCCCCTCGCCGTCCCTCCCACCCTCCCTCACCCGTCTCTCTCTCCACCCTCCGCCCCGTCTCTCTCTCCCCCCTCCCTCCCGTCTCTCTCCGTCGCCACCTCCAACCCGTGCTCCTCCTCCCACCGACTCCCCCCATCATCTCTCTTCCCCGACCCTCCTCCCCTGTCCTCTCTCTCCGCACCCCTCGGGCTGGGCCCTGTCCTCTCTCATCCCCCCCCTCCCCTTCTCCTCTCTCTCCCACCCCCTCCTGCCCCATGTCCGTCTCTCCACCCTCCTCCCCGTCTCTCTCTCCCCCCCCTCCTCCCTGTCTCTCTTTGTCCCTCAAGGTGCGCCACCCTCCGTCCCCTATGCTCTCTCTCCCCCCCTCCTCCCCCCCTCCTCCCCCTCCTCCTCCCACCCTCCTCCCCTCCCTCTCTCGTCTCCCACCCTCCTCCCTTTCTCTCTTTCTCTCCCCACCCTCCTCCCTTGTCTCTCTTTCTCCCACCCTCCTCCCTCCCTCCTTCCCTCTCTCTCCCGTCAGGTTTTCCGTTGATGAAAAACATAACGGTGGCCATACTGCAACTGAGTGAGTCTGGGGAGTTGGCCTACCTGCAGAGTAAGTGGTGGGCCAACAGCTGCATGCCGGAGGGGGGCCATGTCCCACAGGCCCTCCAGCCCCACCTCCTGAAGGGCCTCTTCCTGCTCCTGGCCCTGGGGTTGGGCATGGGACTCCTTATGGCCCTCCTGGAGCTTGCCTCCAAGGCCCGCAATCAAGCCAAGGTCCAGAAGGTAAGGGGACATGAGGAGCGGATAAAGAATGGACCTTTTAAAAATACATTCTGTTTATTGGAATTTTCAAATCTACACGAGTATTGAAAGCCAATACAATAATTGTTCTCCCACAATTCCGCTTACTTCCTCTCCTCCCCTCCTCCCCTCTCCTGTCTCCCCTCTCTTTTCTCTCCTCTCCCCTCTCTTTCCCCTCCTCCTCCCCTCCCATCTCTCTCCCCTCTCTCTCCCCTCCCCTCCCATCTCTCTCCCCTCCCCTCTCTCTTTCCTCCCCCTCCTCTCCCCTCCCTCTCTCCTCCCCTCCTTCCCTCCTCTTCTCCTCCTCCCCTCCCTCTCCCTCTCTCTCCCCCCCCTTCTTTCCCTCTCCCCTCCCCTCTCTCTCTCCCCTCCCCTCTCTTCCCCTCCCCTCCCCTCCCCCTCCCTTCTCTCCTCCCCTCTCCCTTCTTCCTCCCCTCCCTCTCCCTCTCCCCTCCCTCTCCTCTCCCTCCCCTCCCTCTCTCTCCCCTCCTCTCTCCCCTCCCCCTCCCTCTCCCTCTCTTCCCTCCCCTCTCTTCTCCTCTCCCCTCCCCCCCCTCTCCTCCTTTCCCTCTCCCCTCCCTCTCCTCTCTTTCCCTCTCCCCTCCCCCTCTTCCTCTCCCCTCCCATCTCTCTCCCCTCCCTCCCCTCCCATCTCTCTCCCCTCCTCTCCCCTCCCCTCTCGTTTCCCCTCCCTTCCCCATCTCTCTCCTCTCCCCTCCCATCTCTCTCCTCCCCTCCTCCCTCTCCTCTCCCATCTCTTTTCCCCTCCCCTCTCTTTCCTCGCCCCTCCCTCTTCTCCCCTCCCCCTCCCCTTCCCATCTCGCTCCCCTCCTCTCCCTCCCCTCTCTTTCCCCTCCCCCTCCATCTCTCTCCTCTCCCCTCCCATCTCTCTCCTCTCCCCTCCCCTCCCATCCCTCTCCTCCTCACCATCTCTTTCCCCTCCCCTCTCTTGTCCCTCCCCTCTCTTTCCCCTCCCCTCCCCTCTCTTCCTCTCCCCTCCTCCCATCTCCTCTCTCCTCCCCTCCTCCATCTCTCACCCCTCCCTCTCCCATCTCTCTCCCCTCCTCTCCCCTCCCCTCTCTTTCCCCTCCCCTCCCATCTCTCTCCTCTCCCCTTCCCATCTCTTTCCTCTCCCCTCCCCACAGAAATCCTGCTGCTCAGTGTTGTTGGCAGAACTGAGTCAGCGCTTCGGATCGCGTGGGGCAAACGCAGGCACAGAGACGTCAGAGATAAGGCAAAGTGTAAAGGATGTGTTTCACTAGCTGGTTCCTAACAACATCATGGAGTTTGATATGCAAATAAACCATGTGTAAACCCAGTCCTGTCCTTGAGAGTAGCAGTATCTTCCGTTTCATAGTGTATCACACAGCAATGTGTTCTGTTTCATAGTGTATCTACAGCAATGTGTTCTGTTTCATAGTGTATCTACAGCAATGTGTTCTGTTTCATAGTGTATCTACAGCAATGTGTTCTGTTTCATAGTGTATCTACAGCAATGTGTTCTGTTTCATAGTGTATCTACAGCAATGTGTTCTGTTTCATAGTGTATCACACAGCTACCAAGTTCCCCACGTGTAAATAACATGGCTTGTAAGAATATATTGTTATTAGAGTAGAGTCCGTTCTGAAATGTTATTATTAAACCACTATAGAAAACAGCAACAACAGCATTTCCTGTCCTCAGATGACACGGGCCACTGCAGAAATAAACTACTAACGGTGATTTAAATATTATGTTGATACAGGCTTTGCAACTAACCTCCAGATAAATGCGTAAGCAATTGCATTGTAGGCCAATTTGTTGTTGTTGATATGAACTGTTTTTTATTCTTTTATTTTTTTTACTGCCAAAATATGTCATGTTCTACTAAATTACATCTGATGGCTTTTGAGTTGTTTCATTAACTGTTCTTTGTAATGTTTTACCTGTTTGTATTGTCTACCAAATAAATCCCTAGACATGATTTTAGATGTTGGTTGTCACATGATTTCACACCTAACCTCTCTGAAAAGTATTTGGATGGATGGATGGAAAGCAAATATTTTTTTTTATGGATGGATAGGCCTACACTATTTATATTTTGCATCTAGGAGTGGGGGGGAATGAACATGCTCTGTAGGTATCACATAGCTTTTTTTCTTCTATGAATATTGCTGTTTCAGTAGTGTTTTAAATAAGACGTTGCGCGACCATTCTGGAGGGACGCCGGCCTCCCGAGTTCTGATCGCTAACTGGTTGACGCATCAAATCTACCACGAGTGCGGCGCAATCTCCACCCCCCTTGGAGAGTCGCCCCTCCCCCGCCGGACGACGACTGTTGCTAAGGACGCATTTACAAAGCAAGATGGCTGCTGTCAAAAACAAGTAAGAAATTCTCGCAACTATGTCGGAAAAGTTAAAAATCCTATCCGAAACGGTATAAAGTCTACACAGTATGCACTCATAATAACACTTTAATTATGTTCTTCATGATTTACAAGTATTGACAGCAGTAAGATATTTGCTAACGAGCTTATTTGCATCAGATGCCTGAGTCTCCGTCTCTCCCCGCCATGCAGGGTTTGGCGTGTAACTTATGTGTATCCAAACAGCTTTTTTCGCTATGAGGGAGAGTACCTAGCTAGCTATGCCATGGCTAGCCTATGTTATTTTGGTAATAGCAGGTGGTTACGCTTGGCTACTATGATGTGGCTGATAATGATTGCTGATGGGAGAAACAACAATGAGCTAAATGTCTTATGCTATGTAGAAAAACATAGTTAAACCATACTGTCTCATAATGTGACTTTGCTATCATGTTTGCTTCTTCTTTCATATGATATGAATATAAACTATTTATATTCTTAACCTGATGCATCATCCGGTCATACTGGCGGGTAGAAGCGTTGGGGCAGTAACCGAAAGGTTGCTGAATCGAATCCCCGAGCTGACAAGGTAAAAACGGTCGTTCTGTCCCCTGAGCAAGGTACTTAACCCACTGTAACCCGGGCGCCGATTACGTGGATTTCGATTAAGGCAGCCCCCGCTCTCTCTGATTCAGAGGGGGTGGATCAAAAGCGGAAGACACATTTCAGTTGAATTCATTCAGTTGTACAACTGATTAGGTATCCCCCCTTGTTTTTTTTGTTTTCGTTGTTTTTTACTGTACCTAGTCACTTCTGACTAGGTACACTTCTGCCATAATGCAATCATTTGGAAAGGTTCCTGATATAGCTACGTCTGCCCATACAGGGCCTTCAGAAACGATTCATACTCTTTGATTTATTCCACATTTTGTTGTTACAGCCTGAATTCAACAATGCTTACATTTGATTTTATTCTCACCCATCTACACACACTACGCAATAATGACAAAGTGAAAACATGTTTTTAGAAATGTTAGCTTATTTATTTAAAATGAAATACATAAGTATCTCATTTACATAAGTATTCAGACCCCTGAGTCAATACTTTGTAAAATCACCTTTGGCAGCGATTATAGCTGTGAGTCTTTCTGGGTAGGTCTCTAAAGCCATGTTCACATTGGCAGTTTGAAGTGATTCAAATCCTATTTATTTGCATATCTGATACAAATTTGTAATTTTTCCTGCAGTCTGAACAGCCAAAAAGAACGTGGAATCTGATATTTCAGGCCACATTTCAAACCACCTTCGTATGTGATTTGAAGTCAGATACAAATCTGATTCCTGGCCATGTGACTTGTCTGAAAAGTCTAATCTGATTTATTTGCCCACAAGTGGTTGACATATCTTGTTGCTTGCTAGCTACTCTGTTGACAGTTTGACAAGAACATGTGGTAGCTAACTAGCTTGTTAATTGTTTACAAACAAATTAATTAATGTGCTAGAAAGCTAAACAGCTACCTAGCTAGCTAACATTACATTTTAGTCATTTAGCAGACGCTCTTATCCAGAGCGACTTACAGTTAGTGAGTGCATACATGTTTTTTTGTTTTTTTAATACTGGCCCCCCGTGGGAATCAAACCCACAAACGCCATGCTCTACCAACTGAGCTACATCCCTGCCGGCCATTCCCTCCCCTACCCTGGACGACGCTGGGCCAATTGTGCGCTGCCCCATGGGTCTCCCGGTCACGGCCGGCTACGACAGAGCCTGGATTCGAACCAGGATCTCTAGTGGCACAGACCACTGCGCCACTCGGGAGCTAACTTCTGAGTGATGGGAAGCACGAGCACCACCACCAATCAGCCTACACCACTGCACGCACAGCCGTCGTTACTGTGACAACTAGAGTAGCCATGTCAGCAAATGACTGCTGTCTGAACACACACATCCAATTTGGACTTAACCAGGTTTTCCTCTAGGATTTTGCCTGTGCCTAGCTCCATTCCGTTTCTTTTTTATCCTGAAAAACTCCTTAACGATTACAAGCTTACCTATAAACTGATGCAGCCACCACTATGCTTGAAAATATGGACAGTGGTATTCAGTAATGTGTTGTATTGGATTTGCCCCAAACATAACTTTTTGTCCTGAATACAAGGTGTTAATTGCTTTGCCAAATTTTTTGCAATATTACTTTAGTTCCTTGTTGCAAACAGGATGCATGTTTTGGTATATATTTTTTCTTTACAGGCTTCCTTTTCACTGTCAATTAGGTTAGAATTGGGGAGTAATTACAATGTTGTTGATCCACCCTCAGTTTTCTCCTATTTTTTTACATTTTAGTCATTTAGCAGACGCTCTTATCCAGAGTGACTTACAGTTAGTGCATACATTTGTTCATTTTTCTTTCATACTGGCCCCCTGTGGGAATCGAACCCACAACCCTGGCGTTGCAAGTGCCATGCTCTACCAACTGAGCTACACGGGGCCCATTAGCTATCACAGCCATTATACTCTGTAACTGTTTTAAAGTCCCCATTGGCCTCATGGTGAAATCTCTGAGCGGTTTCCTTCCTCTCCAGCAACTGAGTTAGGAAGGACGGCTGTATCTTTGTAGTGACTGGGTGTATTGATA